GAGAGAGAGAGAGAGAGAGAGAGAGAGAGAGAGAGAGATCAGGATGAACTAGGGGAGGGAGGATGAGAGAGAAGGCTTCCTGGGGGTGCTAGGGTTTGTCTTGGCCATAAGATCATAGGTTTTAGAGCGGAAAGGGATCTTGAAGATTGTCAAAGCTCTCTGTAGAAAGATGACACATGAATTCTTGAAGCATTCCACATTTTTTTCCCATTCACTTCTCAGTTCCTTGTAATCTGGCTTCTAATCCTACCCGAAGAGAGCCAAACTGCTCTCTCCATGGTTACTGATGATTTCCTAACTGTTAAATTCAGTGACCTTTCCTCGGTCCTCGCTTTATGAAACCTTTCTGTCACTATTTACCACCCCCTTCTCCTGGACACTCTTGTTTCCTGGATACTGTCTCCTGTATTGTAGTAGCCTCCTCATTGGTCTGTCAGCTTCTAGTCTCTCCCATTTTCAGTCCATATTTCACACAAAACCATGTTTCTGAAATACGGATCTAACTATGCCATGCCCCTACTGGGAATCTTCAGTGGCTCCCTCTTGCCTCTAGTATAAAGTACAAAACCTTTGGCTTCTGTGACAGTACTCTGTCTCAGTTTTTCTATCAGTGTGATCATTTCTTCTGTCTCCTTTGCCCAAGGATCATCTGGTTCCTGAGCAGGAAGTGTGAGCACCTTCTAGATTTCATCTTGGGCCCCTTTTCTCTCTCCACTATCTCCCTCAGTGATCAGTTCCAAGAGATTCAGTTGACTTTATATAGATGATTTCCAGATATACAAAACCAGCTCTGAGCTTTTCCCATATACCTATATATGTACAAGACCCAGCCAAAAGCTTCATACTTGCATGAGGGAAGAAATCAAAAGGAGTAATACTTTAAATAGCATCAGTAACAATGAATTAGAAATGTGTTGAAATAGAAATAATGCTCTGGGATCCAAGCTGGGGTGAGGGGATTGGAGGCAAGAAGGCTGGAGAAGACTGCCATGTACCAATCTCACAAGGCTCTTTCTGCTCTAGGAAACTGTCTACACTTACCTGCTTGATGGAGAATCCCAGCTGGTGTGTACAGACCCCCCACATGATCTACCCCAGGAGGGGAAAGTTCGGTGAGTCTCATACTCTGGGTTCCTACAACCAGGTAGAGTCATCTATCCTGTAGGAGGGGTTGGCACTAGTCACTACTTGGCCAACTTCATAGTGGGATGCAGGGCACTTTTGGAAGTCCCCATCTGTCCTCAAACAATCCCCTCCTTACTGACCTGATTCTTATCTTAGGATATTAGAATCTATGAGTGTTAAAACTACAAGTTAGAATCACAGAAGTTTTGAATAGTAGAAAGTTGGAATTGTAGAATATTAGAATCCAAGTTAAGTTACAAGCATAACATGTTAGAATCTTAGAAAGTTAGATAATACAGGCTAAAATCATATAATATTGAAATCTTAACATTGAATCATTAAAATTTCAGAATGTTGAAGTCTTAGGATGTTAGAATTATAAAAGTATAGAAAGTTAGAATCATAGAATGTTGGAAGCAGGTTCTTTTTTTTTTTTTTTTTGGTGAAGTAATTGGTGTTGAGTGACTTGCCCAGAGTCACACAGCTAGTGAGTGTTATGTGTCTGAGGATGGATTTGAACTCAGGTCCTCCTGACTCCAGGACCAGTGCTTTATCCACTGTGCCACCTAGCTGCCCCTGGAAGCAGGTTCTTATGTTGACCCAGTATGAAAGTTCCTGGAGAAGAATCCAGGCTTTCTACCTCCTGGCCAATGGCCTTAGTAATCATTAGTTAGCAGCTAGAGTTTTTAACCCCTTCTCCTGTAAGTCACTGAGTAGAGCCCAGAGGATCTTCTCCCCATCCACTCACCTCATTCTCCATCTTTCCATTTACTTTGAAGAGAAAACATAAGCACCCTTCCCTTCTCAGACTCTATTAACTAAAATGGAGCTGATGACCACGGGAGTTTAATTAAACCTTTAAAGAGAAACCAATAAACACTCTTGGGCTCTGGGTACCATTCTGGATTTATTAGGGAAGGTCATGCCCCATGTAGGGGCACCCAGCCTCAGAACTGTCTCCCTAATGCTCAGCTTCACTCTTGCTTTCTTAAGCCCAAGCCTGGTACATGTTAGGTGCTTGGCCAGTATTTGTTGGTGAAGAGGGAAGGAGAAGGAATATGTCTCCTTGGAATTCAGTAATACAAGGAAAGGGGATGGAGGCTCCAGCTTGTGTGTTTTTCTGTTTCTTGTAGGAGTTTTAAATTTTTAATCGTTATCCCTTCCCTCTAAGATAATGACTCCTCTGCTTTGTCATTGAATCTTAGAATCACATAATGTTAGACTTTTAGCATTATAGAATGTGAAAATTGCAGAATCTTGGCATCATGGAATTTTAGAATCCTATAATGTTAAAATCATAGAATCACAGAATGCTGATGTTAGAATTTTTGAATATTAGCATATTAGAATATTAGCATCATAGAAGCACAGAATATTAGAATCTTAGAAGGTTAAAATCCACAGAATTTTAAAATCAGAGAATGCTGGAATCACATAGCACTTTAGATTCAGTGAATGTTGTAATCTTAGTATATTAAAATTACAGAATGAGGTTTCCATCTGAGTTCAAACCGTCATCACCTCTCATCGAGAATCTATGTTAGGGGTTAGAAAATTGATAACCCTGATGCTTTTTGTCAGACTCTAACCTAATTAGAATACTAGAATCCTAGAATGTCAGAATTAAATTAAAAACATTTATTAAGAATAGATTAGCTACTAGAGGTATTATGCAGCAGTAGATAGAACATGCTAGACTTGGAGTAAGAAAGATATATGTTCAAATCCTATCTTTGACACTTAATGGCTGTTTGACTCCAGGCAAATCACTTAATCTCTCTGATCCTTAGTTTCCTCATCTATAAAATGGGAGTGTTACAGATTCATCTTTGCTATTTCTCTCAAAGGATTATTCTGAGGCTTGAATGATTAAATGTGCCTTGCAAACATTAGAATGCTATGTGAATGTCAGTTATTTTGTCCAGAGCCTGTCCCTCTAAGAGATACAAAGATTAGATACAACTTGTTCCCTACCTCATAGGACTCATCTCATAGGAGTGATAAGACATAGACAGAAATGATTTTTAATTAAGAAGTAGGGTGTGCAAGTAAATGAGAGAGATACCAGCATAGTGGGAGGGAGGGGGAGGGGCAGAGTGAGACAGAGAGAGAGAGAGTCAGACACACACACACACACACACACAGAGGTAGAGGTAGAGATTATGTTTAGCTGGGGAGACAAGGGAAGGCTTCCTGGAAAAAATGCATTGGAGCTAGGTCATGGAATCTTAGAATCATTGAACATTAAAGCTGTGAGGGACCAGAGTGAACATTTATTTAACCCTATGATTTTATAGCTGGAAAACTGAGGCTCAGAGAGGTCCCATGACTTGCCCTAAGTGACACAACTAGGATCAGGGTTAGGGTCAGGATTCAAACCAGAAGCAGAATCAGTATGTGAATTGAACTCAAAATGTCCTGTTGACTAGGCTCAAAAATGCCTTCAGTATCTCTAAGAGAATCCCCAAGAGATAAGTCTGGGAATATTCCAATTCTTGGGAATGCTTTGCCTAGCCATAGCATGTCCAATTTAATCCAATCCAATCCCATCTAATGTAACCTGTGGACCAGGGCTTCCTTTCCCTCCAAGACTCTGGGTTCATATGGACCAGGTTTGTTTCTGGAGCATGCCTCTAAGAATGTCCCTTTCTTTGTCTCCACCTAGAATTACTCTAGGAAAATCTTTAAATATAGCTTCCATTTGGCTTGTGTCATGAAATATGAGTAATGAGGGGTAGAGGGGAGGGACCCACCTCTGGTACAAGCACTGAAGGTACCAAATGCATATCTGGTATGGGACAGCTTTTATTTCATTGCACAGAAAATGCACACAATGGAAAGGATTTGCAGGAAACATAAACAGATATAGAAATACACAAAGCCCTCAGTCCAAAGCTACTCCTGGGAAAGAACTGAATTTGAGATTGGTATGGGAGCAACCTTTTGATGCTCTGTCTCTTGGCTCCCAATCCAGCCCAGTTTTGTCTTCCTAACCTGAGGCAGCTGATGGCACTGAGTCTTAAGTCAGGAAGACCTGAGTTCAGATCAGACACTTGCATGTGTCTCTGGGCAAGTCATTTAACCATTGTTTATTTCAGTTTCCTTAACTGTAAAATGAGTATAATAACAGCATCTACCTCACAGGCTTGTTGTGAGTATCAAATGAGATATTTGTAAAGTGCTTAGCACAGTGCCTGGCGCATAGTAGGTGCTACATAAATGCTTATTTCCTTTCCTTCCCAACCATACAGTGATTTCCCTTAGCAGAGGGGCTGTTTACCTTACTTGGTCACTTTTGTGGTACATGGCCCAGGTCTGGGCTCAGGCCCATCTGATTGGTTGATTTCCTCTTCAGTGGGAATGGGCCATCTATTGCCCCCCAAAAATGCCTATGGGAGGCGGAATTCACTTGTTAAGCCCCTGACATGTGCCAGGACCTATGATCAGAAACAGAGAGTCTGCAGACATGAGGAAGAACAGAGCTCCTGCCCTCATAACATAGCATAGCAGGTGTGCTGAGACACACATACCCATTACCAATGAAAGACAAAATGAGATATGTAGAGAGAAGAGGCCAGAGCCTGGGATGAAAGGTTGGGAAGGGAGGAATCACTTTCAGGGAAAGGAGATGATAATAATAAATTACATTTCCATAGGGCTTGAAGGTATACACTTAATAATAACCTTATGTGGAATAACTGTTGCAAACATTATTATTACCATTTTAGAGATGAGGAAACTGAGACTGAGTGACTTGCCAATGTAGAAGCGAGGACTTGAACATTCTTGACTTCATGGCCAACATTATTTCTGCTACACAAGGATCCATCAAGGAAGTGGTATCTGAATTGGCTCTTGAAGGGAAGAAAAACATTCAACTGGGGGAGATATGGAAGGAGTGGGTTACCCGCAGGACACAATGAGGGAACAGACAGTAATTCTTCTACCTTAGTTTCCACCTACTCCAGGAAGGCTCCCCTGACTATCCAGAGCTATAATACCTTCTTCTTATCTGAGTCTTCTACACCTAAACAGACATTTGGGATCTTAGATCTAAAATAAGTACAGGGAAGCTAAAAAAACTTGTCCAAGGTTACATATGTAATAAGGAGAAGGGAATAAGCATTTATTAAGTGCCTGCTATGTGCCAGGCATTGTGCTAAGCATGTTTACAAATATTGCTTCATTTAATCCTCACAATTCTGTGAGATAGGTGCTAACTATCCTCATTTTATAGTTGAGGAAACTGAGGCAAACAGAAGTTAAATGACTTGCCCAGGCTCACACAGCTAGTAAATTTCTGAGGACCTATATAAACTTAGGTCTTACTGACTCCAAGCCCACCCAGTTTTCTATCCATTGTGTCTCTCAGCTTCCATTTAACTGTCTCTAATAAGCATTTAGAGGTGGAATTTGAACCCAGGTCCTCTGATTACAGAATCGAGCACCTTTTCCTCAGTACCACAATGCTTTCCTAAAGTGATGGGGAAGAATTTACAAATCTACAAAGTGTCTATTATGTATAGGGAACTCTACTCACTCCTGTGGATGCAAAGATAAAATTGACCCTGCCTTCTAGGAGCTTACGATCCAACGGAAGGGACAGGATGTGTATACAAATCACTTAGACAGAAGCTAGGTAGAAAAATTCTGTGAAAATTCTAGGAGGCAGAGATTTCTTTTAATTGGGGAGGAGAGTTGTGTGGGATGGGGTAAGGAGACTTTCTGGAGGGGGTAGCATCTAAGCTGAGCCTTGAAGGAAGGAGAGGGATTTCATAGGTGGAAATTTGGAGAGAAGATATCTCAGGCATGGGAGAAAGCCTGAACATGTGACTAGGGACTGGAAAAAGCAGGATGAGATCAGACAATAGTGGATAGTTCAGTCTGACTAGAATACAGAATGAATGAATGAATGGAGTAGAGTTAAGACTGGAACGTTTGGTTGGGGCCAGACTGTGAAGGCCTTGAATGCCAGTATCAGAATTTG